TAACGATGAAGAAGAGCTCTGATACCATGTTGATTAATAAGAAGCACAAACCGTGCCCTTCTCTYTATATTGCATTAGCGTTATATAGCATTACAAAGGAATCAATCAAAATCAATCAACATAATTACAAAATATACGGTATCTTTAAATAATAATTATATTATTGTGTTGCCTATTCTATCAGACTAATCATATTGAAGTTCACTAGGGATGAGTGGCAAACTACATGACCATTGCATCGTTGTAGGTAAAATCGACTTCGATGCGGATCGAGCTTAGACTATTCGTAATATCAATCTCTTTAACCATTCGATTAGGAGAAGAAGTAGGAGCTTCACCGTGTCGACGTTGATTGCGTTCTCGCCATATGTAATACACGACAGCTTGGAACGTATATCTCAGAAGAAATAGCTTCAAATTATCAAAACCAGAACTATAGACGAGCTTTATGATATGTTTACAATCCGTTGAAAACTCCACCGTAAGAAGGGTCTCCATTAAACCTTTCCAAACCTGAGCTGGAAACTGACACGGGAAAAACAAGTGATTTCGGGATCCAACTCAACATTCTATCACCCGTGGATAACCTATTGAGGCAAGCTAGCCGTGAGATGAAGGCATATTTTTGGCGTCGCATAGTGGAACCATACACCCGGATACCAATCCTTCTGAACATGGTTTGGTCTAATCAACTTCCAAGTACCTTTAGTGCTAAACCTCTGCGACAACTTAGTTTCCGCTTATTTCCATAGAAACTGATCTTCTTCCTCTTGAGTGCTCTGACTAATTAACTTTTGTAATTTCATATTCAATTCGATTTAAAATCTCTGTTCTGTGGGATCGAATACGATAAGGATTTTTTTTGTATAGTTAGTAATTGTGATTAAAACTCTTAGGTTTTTTCAAAGATTAATTCCTCAGTTTTAATAAATTTCGAATCATATTTGCTTTTTTTTTTAAAAAGGTCCGCATGTTGTCTTGTCGAAAGAGCTTAGGAGAGACATTATATTAGTATAGTAAGAGAATCTTTTGAGAAAAGCATCATCGTAAAGAAAACAGTTGGTCCTTCAATCTGAACAATCAAACCTACATTGTGATTTTGTTCTATACATTAAGCCGTCCCCACAAAGCAAAGCATTTCTCACCTTTTTTGTTTATTTTCGTGAGAAATGGAAAACAAAAAGATGTAAAAATGCATATGAAAAGGGAAGAACAATATAGAAGGGGACCATAACAGTTAGGCAAAGTAAAGGAATAACTCAATCTCAAAGAAAACAACTTATAAAAAGTCATTTGTTGATTAGTATATAAAGAAATCGCTTGTATAGCACTTATCAAAATAACCCAAAGATCCTTCATTATTCCAAATTCACAAACCAAGAAAGTAAGAGATGGAGATAAAATTAGACCATGCTACTGCTAATCGCATCTACGATGATTTCGAGCCAATCTCAAATTGGAAAACTGAACAAGGCTTCGAATCTCTCACTGTTTACCTTCCAGGTATAATTATTACTCAAACGTATTTAATTTCGTCATGGTTTTGGTTTAATCTCGATTCTTGAATTGTGTAAAACGGTTCTTGAAATAACAGGGTTTCGAAAAGAGCAACTGAAGGTGCAAGTAACCACAACAAGGAAGCTGCGAGTAATGGGAGAACGTCCTACAGGACCTAACAAATGGATACGTTTCCGGAAGGAGTTTCCTATTCGATCAAATATTGACGTTGATTCCATCGCAGCCAAATTTGAAGGCACAAATCTTGTTGTGAAGCTCCACATACCCGAGCCCCTAGGCAAACAAACTTCACCTAGTGGTACAACCACAAAACCTCCTATAGTTCCAAAGGAAACTGAGAAGGTTCAATCGCCAAAGCCAGAAAGGGAAAACGAAGCGGAACTAGAGAAGGCTCAATTGCAAAAGCCAACAAGTGAGGAAGACGCAAAAAAGGATGGGAAAGAAGAAGGTCTCAAAGGTGCTGAGAAGAAAAAGGATTGTGATGGAATACTTAACCAAGATTATAGATACAAAGTGAATGCATACAAGGAGAATCTAGGAGGATATGTGGCATTGATGAAGAATAACACGACAGCAATTACAGCTGGTATGGTTGCTCCTGCGGCTGCAGTTCTCTTGTTGTCTCTTGGATTCTATGCCGGTCGAGTGTTTACTTCGTATAATTAAACGGCTTGCAGATTTCTCAAAGGCATATATGATCAGATGTATTAACTTTTCATATATGTAAGAAAACATATTAATAATAAAATGGCAACCATAAAAGTAACAAATGAAACCGAGAAGCCAGCAAATAAGAAATGCAACATGAGATATCTTTAACTATCAACCTTTTATTCTTTAAATTGCAACATTTAGGATTCTATTTACTCGTATGACGTGCAGAGAAACAAAACATATCTCTTCATAGACTAACACTAACTTAGGCATTAAAAAGCGTCCTCCCATGTGCTTATATCTGCCTGGAGTATCGGGTTTCGGTGTTGACCGGTAATGGGCTCCATCATCTGTTTATTTCAGCTTCGAGGCAAAATGACATGTCTTCACTAAATCAGATTTAGCTTCCCAACCACAGCACCAAATGATATGATTCTAACTTCATTGGTAATTTTACTCGGAAGGTTTTTATTGTCATCAATTTTCATCTAATTTCAAGTTTACTTGAGTCTCAGTCCGTAGCTAAGCTTCTCGTACTTCTCTTCTGTCCAACTCAGGCAAATGCAATAACTTGTGAATACTTTGGCTTGGATGATCTCTTTGATTTGTAGAGCTGTTGAAGCTTGGTTTACACACCTCTTTTAATCTTTTTTTGCTTTCGTCTTAATGAATTTCGCTGTCAAAACTCTAAAACTACAAAGACAAAAAAAACTACCTCTAAAGGCATAAAATCATGATAAAATGCATAAATAATACTCTTCCGTTTCAAAATATAAGATGTTTGGCTAAAAGCACGAAGATTAAAAAAATTACTTTCATTCAAAAAGTATCATTTAATATATGAAATAAAAATAATTTAATCAATTATAAAAAAACTACAGAATATTATTGGACGCACAATATTCAGTAAAGTAAAAAATACCTAAGATTGTCAAAATATTTTATATTTTAAAACAAAAATAACCTCTAAAACAGCTTATATTTTGAAACAGAGAATATATAGAAACCATAGTAATACAAATAAATATATCAG